ATATCCTTGTCCACCTGTATATTTATATATTTTCCCACAATATTTACAAATTATATCATACCTTTTTTGATCAATATCAAACCTTTCCATTTTCGTGAAGTGATTCCAAATGTCAGATGTAAATTCCCGTTCCGCTTCCTTTGTTGTAGATATTTCAGCAGGAGGATGAAAACTTTCTTGCGTCGGGACGCGCTCCACATCGGGAAAAATGTTGATTTCATCATCTTGAAAATCTGCATATTCACGAGGATCAAAAGAATGATGGGATTCCGTCATGATATTCTTACCTTTGCCAGTTGGCACTCGACTTCCACTTGCCATTTTTTAAGTGGATTGAGAGAATTGAGCGGATTAATTGGGAGAATTAAGAAAGAATTGCATGGATTGAGAAAATTGAGAGAATTTAAGAGAATTTGAGAGAATTTCGAGTATTGAGAAAATTTGAGACTTGAGAGAAGAGAATTTGAAAGAATCTGAGAGAATTGTGAGTATTGAGAGAATTTGAGAGAATTTATAAGAAAAAAATGAGAAGAAAATTTACGATTAAAAAAAAAGAAAAGATAACCGTTGCAAAATTGCAACGGTTATCTTTTTTTTTTTTATAAATTTTTGCCCGTTTGGGCATTGGCCTTGGCCGTTGCCAGGCTGCCTTGGCAACGGGCCGCAAGGCGCAAGCCCATGCCGCAGGAGGGCACTCAGACATGCGCAGCCCATGCGGGGTTTTTTTTTTTTTTTTAAAATTTTGCTCCGTTGCCGTGGGCCGCCCGGCAATGGCTGTCAAGCAGAAGAAGAAGATGCCCGCACCCGCAGCCGTGCCGCAGCCTTTCTTCTTTTTTTTTTTTTTTGCAACCGGGCCCGGAACCGACGGTTCCGGGCCGGTTCCAAACCGCGGGCCCGGTCAACGGGCCGATTCCGGTTCCAAACTGCGGGCCCGATCAACGGGCCGGGCCCGGGTTTGACCGGGCCAGTTCCGGGCCGAAACCGGCCCGTGGCCATGACTAATCTATGGCCGATTAGGGATTGCTTTGTGTGCTAATCGTGGGCTGATGGGGGTTAGTTCGTAGGTGGGAATGTTGATCTTTCGTATGTTGCTATGGCGGGCTGAATAGTGGTGTCGTGTGTGCTGTGGTGGGGCCATTTGATGGTAGGAATTGTGCTTAATCGTTGGCAAGTTGTTGAACCGAAGGGTGTTGTGTTTGAGGAAGAATTGGGGGCTGATTTGGGGTGGTTTATGACTATTTTTTAGGCCGGCTGATGCTGGAAATTGCGTAGTGTTTAATGATCGTTTGCGTGTAATTCAATGCTCAACTGGCGGTTGTTAGTGCTTGTTGAGTTGGGCTGATATTGATGAGTTTGTGACTTGGTGTGCAATCTAAATCGTGATGTTATGTGGGTTATGTCGTGGCTGAATCGTTGTTGCTCGTGTGCTCGAGTTTAGAGCTCATCTTCGAGTTAATTGTGCTTGGTTGTGAGTTGGACTTGTTGGCCTAGGTGGGGCCGAGCAAGCTTGGCGAATTGTGACATGAATTGTTGAAAGCGTGATCAATTTAGAGTACGTGGGGGTTGATTTGATTCAATGGGGAATTGTGTTGTGGTTGTTTGGAAATTGTTATGTGATATTTGATTACGTGAAAGACAGAAATTGAATGAATGCATTAAGTGGCGCATGTGCTTGGCTGTGGAAAGCAGGATAGACCTGAGGCTTGTTTACGCGGGTCATTAGACAAAGCCCGGATTGATCGGAGGGCTGCAAACCTGAGGCATGGTTACGCGGGTGTGGCGAGAAAGGCAAGAAAAGACCTGAGGCGTGTTTACACGGGTCATTAGAAAGAAAGAAACGTCCTGAGGCGTGGTTATGCGGGACTGAGCCTGTATTGATTGGAGGGCTGAGCCTGAGGCGTGTTTACGGGGGCTGTGAGGAAAGACCTGTGGCGTGTTTACGCGGGTCGTGAGAATGGGCCTGAGGCGTGTTTACGCGGGCTGTGGAAAGAAAGTTGGGCCTAAGGGGTGTTGGCTCGGGTTATGAGAAAGTTGGCCGGACCATGCATGTTGCATAGTGTTTGATTATGGGGTGAATACTGCTAGGCATGGTATGGGACGTGCCCAAGTTGTTTTACCTTATAATCGGGACACGCGCGAGTGTGGATACATTATGCATGGGAAATTTCTTTGCGTGTTCCTAGTACGTGTTATGTTGGATACGTTATAGTGTTTGACTGATATGCAGAGTTGGCGTGTGAATGGAGGCGAGGTATGTATGTTTATGTGAGTTCTAGTATGTCGATTGTTAGATTGCATGTTGAGACTCGTCTAGGTACGCATTGGCCTACGTGGGGTTTAGATTGTCTGCTTATTGAGATTTATCTCATCCCCCATTGTTAAACATTTTCAGGTTTGGAGTGACAAACAGTTGTCACGTGCAATTCGGAGATCAGGAGTGGTGTTGGATATTGATGCTTCATTCCTTTTGTGGATGTCCCCTTTTTGTATAGTGAAGTAGGCTACCCAACCACTGCCCCTTTTGATGAACGTGATTTAATGTTATGTTTATGGATATTGTAAGCAACTGTTTGATTAGTGCATGTACTATCCCTTGTCATTAACTATCGTCAGGGTTGCTTAAATTTCGCTTCCGCTTGCGTATGTCTTTGCGTGTTTCGTATGGGTCGGCGACGCGTCTCGGGACGTCGCGTTCAATACGGCCATCGAAGGAGTGTCGCGAGCCCGTTGGGGTTCGGGGCATGACAAAATGAGTTCGGTGACTTGGTTACACTACTTGAGTGACTAGTGCCCTTTCGGTACCTTTCATCCTGTTCATTTTAGAAAATATTTATCAAGCAGATTGGATTGATTTTTTGACCTATCTCCTAACATGTGAGGTGATTAAGTGAGTGCACAATCATTAAATTAACGATTAACAGTCAAGATAAAATATACAACCTAGGGTTCTAAACCTAACTAAGGATACAACATTTAATATATCACAATTTATGCAATCATATACTAATTAGAAATTACATCTATAGTAATAATACAGCAGTAGTAAAAATAATATAAAAAATCCTACTGTATAGCTTTATAGGCTTATTGAGTCGATCGGAGCTTGGCCGGCCTACCCAGGCCAACCTTTGGCCTTTTCTAGCCCCTAGTGACCACCATGAGGCCAAACCCAAACTAGTTATGTCACCATCTGACCACCTACTTGTCGGGGAAGATCAAAATCAAATCGGCCTCATTGAGGCATTTTTTTAAATAGTTGGTGCTCACGGCCAAAACGATGGAACTCCGACCTATTTTAGGGCCTCGGCCAGCTCCGGTGACCACAACTCACCTCCGACAACTACGTATGGACCGGGAGCATGGTCGGTATGGATCGGGATTCATGCGAAATGGCCGGTGCGAGTCCCGGCCAACCTCCACAGAAAAATAGGGGAAAACAAGGCACAAGAGGGACCGAGAAGACTTATTGGTTGGGGACTCCAGCTCAGTAGATTGTCGACGGCATAAGCTCAACGGGAAGGCTCTTGTGGCTTCGTCCTTCCACCTTTAAGCGAAAGTCTCGATCTTTCTCACTCAATTTCTCTCTTTTTCTTCTTTCTCTCTCTGCTTTGTTTTCTCTTCTCATTGTGGCCGACCCTCTCTCTCCTCTTCTCTAGTCTTTTATGGCCAAAGGCCACTTGCTTCTACTCCATTAACTCGCCTTGCAATGGCCTGCACAGGCCTACTATGCGTCCTTGACTTTTGTGGCCATTCTAGGCCGGTGCTGGGAGGCAAGTTTTGCTCCTCTGCATCTCGATTCCCATGGCAACAGGGAGGAGAAAAGGAGAGAGGGAGAGCCCGGGAAAGGAAGAGGGACGGGACTTGCCATCAATACCCTCTGCTGAGCTTCCCTACCTATCAATTTTTGCTTGATGGGGATGGCGAGGCCGCTCCACCGTCCGTCGATTCCACGACCAGAAATAGGGCTAGCAGAGGAAGAAGGGAGGAAGGAGGGAAGGAAAGAAGGAGGCCGGGCCAGGGAAAGAGGGAGCGGGCTGGGACCGTGGAGGGAAGAAAGGAGAGGGCCGGGTCAACCCAACCTCGATCCGACCTGATCCGAATTTTTTTTTTATTTTTTTTATTTTTTTTAAAAAGAAAAACTTTAATTAGTGCATTTGAAATTTAATATGCCTAATATATAAATGAAATTGAATTAATATTAAAATGTTTTTGTTTTAGAACTTAAGGACATTAACTCCTAAATTTTTGCATAATTGATTTTGGGCAAATTAAAAAATAGGTGTCAACAGCTAGTTTGGGAAAACGATCATAATTTTGTTGATTCATATCAGAATGACTTGATTTTTAGAGCCAAAAGAATGAAGACTCATGGATCTATAACTTTTATGTTTTGAGTTTTCTCGGATAAGCAATGTAGAGTTGTCGATTTTGGAGAAAAGTGGACGAACATGAATGGATAGGATCAGGAAAAAAAGGATAGGAACTTTAGTGGCTGCTCTTCTAGGCCTCCAAGGAAGTTGAAATGACACCAATTCTTCTAGATTGATGGCTGCAACTCTTCAAGGATGTAGACTTCTAAAAGCTCTGATTCTTCAAGGATGGAGTAAAAACACTTCAAGGTTTTCAAGGGGTATGAACTCTTTGAGGTTCAAGAGAATTGCACTAAGCAAATTTCATTTATCAAATTCAGTCTGCTTTTTATATAAACTTGATGGCCTTTTATAGCAAAACAAAGAAAGAAAAAGACAAAACTTGAAGCACATAGAAATTATTAAAGCACATAGAAACTTGAAGCTATTAAAAGTATAATATTTTCAATGCTTGTAGCCGTCTCAATAAGTTCTGTTGCAAGCTTCCAATATATGGGTAATGACAAAACTTTTATGACAAAGTCAAAGATGAGACTTTTCACTTATAGATGAGGTTCTTCAATTGTCGATGAAGTGTTTTGATATTAGGGTTATTGATGAGAGTGTCGTCCAACTTAAATGCGTGCTAACCTTCTTGGTTGAATGAGTTGGCCTTGAATATGGGCTACATCATTCCCCCTTTCTTTAAAAGAATTTGTCCCCAAATTCGAATCATCATCATTGGAAGAAACACCCACATAAGGTGCTAAATGCCGAACATTGAACACGTCATGTATCTTCATATGAGAAGGCAACTTTAGTCGATATGCATTAGGATTGATGCGCTCAAGAACTTCAAGTGGACCAAGATTTTGTTCACTAAGCTTGTTGTAGCTTCCAACAGGATAACACTCCGGTGGAAAATAAGCCCAAACAAAGTCTCCCGGTTTAAAGATGATTTCTCGCCAACACTTATCGACATTTTTTTATAGGACTCAATTTTGTTCTCCAACCTTTGGCGCACATCTTCATGAACTAGCCTCATTTGAGAAACAATATCGTCCACCTTATCGATTGCTTTTTCAGCGAAAGGAATATGTGCAAGATCAAGAACGGTCTTTGATTGACGTCCATACACAATCACGAAAGGATTGTATGTGACGTCCCAAAACGTCATATGGGACACGTGTCCTTTCTAATTACATCCTATATTTGTAATTATGCATGCAAAAGCAAAACAAATATTTCACAACATCCCTAACAAGAAAATTGCACGAGTTTCATAATATACACATCTTCAACTTTATACAAACACTAGTAGTTATTATCACAACAAAAACATAATACTGGTGTTTGTAGTAGGGGTTGATGTTCTCCGATATCATATCATCCCTTCCATTGCTATGCCTAGGGAAACTATCCTACACATATGAAAAATAAGGGGTGAGTCAAAGCCTAGTAAATGAAATCTCTAGGTTTAAGGTAGGAGATCACCTTACCACTTAACCTGATACCAATTATACAACATGAGTTCAAGGCAATGCAAAATAACTATGGATAACGAATGCATAAGGAAATTGCCTATCGTTATTATCATGATATGCCAATGGAATCCGTTTACAATATTATAAGTTCATTCACTCAAATGCAAACAAACGGTATATTTGTGACATTATGAAATCTGACCCACTTGGAATTTATGAAATGAATAGTTTATGGACGTGCTTGTAGTTAAATCTTGCCCGGAATTGAACACTTCGGGAATACTAACTGTTAGGGAAAGGCTAATTAGGGATTTAAATTCGCGCGACCAAATAACTCGATCGTGAACCGACTTTCGACCACGAAAATTGTCGAGGTGACAATTTGAGCCAATGTAGGCCGATCCAAGGATAGCTAGGGATCAGTTCGCCATTTTCATACGAGTGGATTGTGGGTGATTCCGCTAGACCACGAAATGAATTGACGAATGATCCCGAACCTATACCAAACGATCGCGCCTGTCGGAACTAGCGATCGATCCTCGCGATTAAGTGACAACCGAAGTCGTCCCGACCCGAGTAAAATTTGTACGTGGCATGATTTAGTATCGGCCACGGGTCAATAATGCGAATTTCCTCAAAAGCCACCCGTTAGTTTGAGATTTGCTCAAGTTGCGTTCTGTAAAATTTAGTCATTAAATTAGAGACCGAGTTGGGCATTGGAAATTTAGAAAGTCACGACAGGATATTTGGACGATGTTGTCATTTGCTCGGTTAGCCTCGGATTTGTCCGAATCCTTCAGAAAAATTTAATTTTGGCGAGAAATGGAAAATGACCATTTTACCCCTAGAGGTTTGTTAAGGCCAAGTATATTTGGGAAGGGCATTTTGGTAATTTCACCCTAGCCTTAGAATTTATAGATTTTTGGACAATTTTGCCCTTGGACTTTTTGAGAAATTACCAAATTACCCTTGGATATTTTGGAAAAGATTCGATCCGGACCGTCGATCTCAAGATAAGATCAAATCTAAGCCGTTGATTGGATTTGTGAGAGAAGGGCAAGATGGTCTTTTGGCCCTTCAATTATTGACCTTGGACTATTAAAGTCCAAACTCATCTCTCTCTCCTCACTTTCTCCCTCTCTCGGCTCACTCACTCTCCCTCTCCTCAATCACCGATCGCCGCCCCCTCCCCCTTGCCGTGCCGCCGCTCACCAGCCGTCCGTCTGCCGTGCCACCGCCATCCCGCCACCGAGCCGCACCACCCACCCTCACGCCGTTCCTCTCTCTCTCCCTCTCGGCGATCTCTCTCTCTCCCCTCATGGCCATGAGTGACCAGGGCCAAGGAAGCCGCTCGCCGCCGCCCGCCGTTCAGCCGCTCGCCGCCGCCGTGAGGCCACCGATCAGCCGCCCCCTTCCCACTCTAGCCGAGCCAGTCTAGAGTTCGTGTAAGTCGCGCCCTAAAGTCTATTTAGGATTTTGGGTATCGACGGACAATTTAGGGCTGAATTGAGTTGATAGGTGACGGTTTAGAGGTTAATTAGAGACTGTTTAGTGGTTATTTTAGTGGACTGATTTGGGAGCTAATTATGGCTGATTTGTGAATGAAATTATGATGATTTCGAGACTGATTTGGTGCTGAGTTAGATGCTGGAAAATCGGGAAATGAAATGACGGGCATATAGTCCAATTTGGAGACGATTTGTGCCGGTTTGATGTGCTGTGATGTGGCTGTGTTGTGGTGCCTGTTATGGCTTGAAATATGCGTGGAAATATTGAATTTGTGGCTGTGATTATGGGCCCGATAGCGGCCGTGATTGCTCGTTAGTTTGCGAAATATTTGATTGAATATGAGTTGTTGTGTGCACGCATGGGCTGAGTTGCGTGGGTCGTCAATTTGGCCATGTTTGGGCTTTATCTGAGTATGTTAAATGAGTGGAGTTGGATACGTGCATGAGCCGGATTTAATCGGCTAGTAATTGGGCTTGTTAGTGTGAAGATCGAGCGAGTAATTGAATGGGAAAGTGTGTGAAATTTTGTGCATGAGGTTACGAAAATCCCTGAAGCGGTACCATTACGCGGGGAATTGATCTGTCCTGAGGTGGTATAACTACGCGGGACGATGCCCGGTATTACCGGAGGACGGCCAATCTGAGGCGGTACCATTATGTGGGTTGTGTCGTAGGTGGTGGGTGTTGAGCCTGAGGCGGTACCATTACGCGGGCAAGATACACGGCCTGAGGCGGTGCCATTCCGCGGGCCATGAAGTGTTGTTATGAGTTAGTCACAGTGAACCCGAGGCGGTACTACTACGCGGGTCACTGGCGAGTCGAGTGGAAAAATGAGATAGTCGCAGTGAACCTGAAGCGGTACTACTACGCGGGTCACTGGCGAGTCGAGTGGAAAGATGAGTTGGTCGCAGTGAACCTGAGGCGGTACCATTACGCGGGTCACTAGCGAGTTGGGGGAAAGGAATGTGATGAGGGAGGAACGAATGCGTGAAATGTAATTAGAATGTGCATGTGATTGGAAATTATACTACTGTGGCTAACGTGCAGGTTGCACGCTGGAAAGGCCCAGGTAAGTATAAATTATGTGCCTGCTATGTGATGGCTGAGTGTGGTCGTGTTTGGGGTTGTCTGGAGGTACGTGATAGTCTAGGTGGGGTTTAGGGTGTGTGCTTATTGAGATGTAATCTCATGGTTGTTTCAACCAATAATTTCAGAACCCCGGCCTGAGCAATGAATCCCCCACCGCCGCCACCTGAGCGTTTTGGAGTACCGATGCATACCGATCACAGTGTTGTAGAGTACCCGATAGACGATAATATGACCTGGGTTAAGCATACGACAGTAGTTTGGGTAGACATAGAACTACCCCTCTGGCAAGCCCACACGTACACTGCCTAGATGTTTAGAGATGGGGTGGATGAGTTTGGCCCCGTCCGTGGCTTCGATGTCCCCTTTGATGGAGTTGGGGATTGGGACCCATCAGCCATACCCCCTCCCGACGGCGAGATGACGAGCCTAGAGACTAGCCTGGCGCAGTCCGGACTTTAGCAAGCGCCTGTAGCACCTGAGCCCTCGGGGGCCGAGCATGAACCGGAGCCGGAAGAGTCCCAGGCAGGGTACGATCCAATGGACGTGGACCTCGAGGTGATCCCAGAGGAAGAACCCGAGGCAGAACCTGAAGAAGCCCCAAAAGATGAGCCTGAAGAAGAACCGGAGGACGTACCCGAGAATGAACCCTGGTATGATCCCGAGTTTATGCCAGAGGACGAGTCATATGAGGAACCAGTTGAGGAGGAGCGGGTTGAAGGTCCATCGGAGTCAGGTGATATAAACAACCCGATTAAGATTGAGGCCGAGCCGGAGTCCTCATAGGAGCAGACAGTTCAGGGGAATTCAGATTCGGATGATGAGGAATCAGACTCTGAGTGGACGCCAAGTAGAGGACGTAGGGGCTAGTGTAGGGGTTGGGAATAAGCTTTTTGAGGTGTTCCATTTTTGGGCAATAGGGTACCCAGGCTATTGATCATTTTGGATATCGGTGGTTTATAGTGTAGAAGTTCGGTGTGCTTGTGTATATGGTGGTTTGTAAATTGTGAATATTATATAAGTTTGGATGAGCAATGGATGTGTTTAATCTCCCCTATTTACCCTAGTTATTATTGTCCGGGTATTTATGGCTTTCGCTGATTGATATAAATCTCTAATCAAGTTGTTTGGGTCGGTGATACCCTGGGACATCGCTTTATTCAACCAGAGAAGTGTGTTGCGTGCTCGATGGGGTTCGGGGCGTGACATCACTTGTTGATTTTGTATCAGAGTGAGGTTAGCTCGATCTAAATTGGTCGAAGTCTGGAGTGATAAGGAGCAGAAACCCTGGGGTAGTAATCTAGGGAGACCTTAGCGAGTCGTGGAGTGGTATGAGCTACACATGCCTCCAGATTGTTTGTTGTGATTGTTGGGTGAAGTGAATGTTATAACGATTGAAATGCAGGTGCGTCTGGACCTGAGGTAAGTGCACAGATCCTATTGATTGTGGCCTTGTGCTATGCTGTGGTGATTGATTACCTGCTGAGTGAATTCTTGTGTTAATTCACTGCCTAGGACTAGACTGGTATAGTTGGCCTAGGTTTCTAATTCTTGAGTGGAATTATAGCAGGTAGTCGAGTGGTAGAAATCGTGAGGATGAGTTCGCAAGGTAGAGAAACTGGGGGTTCGTCCAACTCACGAGCCCGACCTGCAGAGGATCCGAGAATGGAAGCGGTCATGAGGACCCTAGAAGAAATTGGTAATCTGATAGGACGGCAGACTCAGGAACGAGCTGCCACGATTGCCTAAGCTGCCGAGGCCGCTGCTGCTAATAATAATGGGAATCAAGGGCAGGGGCAGGTGAATGTGAATAGACAAATGCACCAATTAGTTGAGCAGTTTCTGAAATTAAAGCCTCCTAAGTTTGATGGTAAAGGCGATCTTGAGGGTGCATCACTGTGGGTGGAGGAACTAGAAAAGGCTTTCGAAGTATTGGGGTGTACAGACGAGGAGAAAGTGACATTAGCGGTATATCAATTGCAAGGAAATGCAAATGACTGGAGGAAAGCCACCAGAGGAATGATATTCCCGGCTGGTACCGCCCAGACTTGGGCGATGTTTGTAGAAACCTTTAATGGTAAATATTTTTCTGAGAGTGC